TAATAAAAATTTTTTTAAAAAGAAGCAGTAATAATAAGTTGTTTCTGTTAGAGTTAAGAAGTGAGTCTTTTGCTTTCTGTTTTTAAGGTGAGCATTTGTAAGGTATATATACCTGTATTATAGTACAGACCAGTATGACAGTGATTGAAATTTAGCACAAATTTGGAATCAGACACACTGAAACCTGAGTCCCAGTAGCACGCCCTTGAGTAGCTGCTCTGGACCTGTGTTTCTTTATCAATAAAGCAGAAGAAAACAACACGTACCTGGCAGGGTTATTGTGAGGAATGGATTTTAATATCCACGTAAGATGCTCAGCAGACTGTTGGTGCACAGGAATAGCAGGTGCCGTTGACTGGGCAGAGACAGCCATGGGGGTGACGTTGTCCACTTTCGAGGTGTGAGCCTAGCCGGCTGCCACCGCAGCGGCAGCAGCAAGTCCGGGGGTGGGGAGGACCGTGGGGTGGCCGGTGTCTGCTCACAGACTCTAGGATTGCAGGTGACGAGTGCCCGTCCCCAGCAGAGCTTTGTCTTGCAGACTGATAACTTTGACGACTTCTGCCACGAGAAACTGGTCCAGATCAGCCCGCAGCTCATCCGGGCCAAGAAGATGCTGCAGGATGTGGGCACGGCCCGGTGCCGGTGTCTGCAGGCGCTGTCCCAGAGAAAGGAGTTCGTCGGCTGGGTCCGGGAGGCGCTAGGAGGTAACAGCCAGGAGTCTGGAGAGGGTTTCCAGACCGTTCTCTGTGTGGTGTTCCTGACCTTTGGGAAGTACCTCCCCTTGGTCACGCGCTGCGTGGCGGGCGGGAAGGCGGGCCTGCGTTCCCCGGGAAGATGGTGGAGTCACGTCAGCTTGGCCCTTCTCGCGTGTGGGCGCGGACCATCCCGCACTCTGTTCCTTGCACGCTCTCCAGGAACGGTCCGGGGTCCTTTTCTGCACAGTCTTGTGCCGTTCAGCTTTTCCTTTGGGTGGAGCGGGAAGAGCTCTTGTCCACGAGAGATTCTGTCCCAGCATCTCCATCGATGATGTCCATTTCTTGGCAGCATGTTAGTTCTGTAGCTTAGATGCCTTTGCCCGAGTTCAGAGTGAAGAAGGGGAGGTGGGACAGGAGGGCAGGGGGCAGAGCTGGTGTGCAGCGAGGTTGGGGGTCAGAGGCTGCCCTGGATCCAGTCTCATCAGAAGCTTCATGGCTTCCAACGGTGGACTTTTTGGTCTGCTTCTCTGAGACAGGGTCTCACTCTGTCGCCCAGGCTGGAGTGCAGCGGCACAATCGTAGCTCACTGCAGCCTCCAACTCCTGGGCCCAAGCCATCCTCCTGCCTCGGCGTCTCGAGTAGCTGGGACTGCAGGCACGGCCACCACATACCTGTGTTCTTATTGAAAGCAGAAAGTGGATAAAACCTTAAAAATTCATTGAACGTCCATATATAGCGTCGCTAAAGAATGCTGTGCAGGACAGAGCCTCGTGGCCGTGTTGGAGCAGTCCCGTGCTGACCTCCTCTCCTCTCTTCCCGAGGCATCAACGAGCTGAAGGTGTTTGTGGACCTGGCTTCCATCTCGGCGGGAGAGAACGACATAGACGTGGACCGGGTGGCCTGTTTCCACGACGCCGTGCAGGGCTACGCCCCGCTGCTGTACAAGCTGGACCCGGCAGCAGAGTTCAGCGTGTTCATGGAGCATCTGAAAGAACTGTGGAAGGCTCTGGACAACGACCAGCACCTGCCCGAGAAACTGGTAAGTCTTGTTCCTGCTCCAGAGCAGATCACATTGAATGCAGCGTTGCTCTGGCAACACTGCGGGAAACGCAAATGACGTAGGTTTGTGTGCAGCCATTTAAAGTGATGTTGAAAAAGTTTTTTTTCACAAGTGGAAATTCTTTCTCCATCTTGTTATGTTAGAAAGCGGGATACAAAATTACTCATAAACAATAGTAAACTGGCACAAAACACGTGGAAAAAATATTAAAAGAAAACATGCTAAAATGTTACCTTTATTTTTCTCTGAATGGCAGTAATTGTCATTTTATTCGGTCACTTTTGGATATTTTCTGTGTTTTCCACAATCGATGTAGATTAATTTTGTATCGGAAAAGGTGAACATTTAAGTGTAAGGAAGCTGCCTGTGCCAGGGTCTGAGCTGGCTCACAGGCCTACCCAGTCGAGGCACCCAGGGCGCTCAGCACACCTGGCTCCGCGGTGGCTGGCAGGATGTGATGGAGGCATGAGCAGGTAGAGCTGTCCTCACCTCTGCTGGAAGCCCATATCCAAACAGGTCTCCGTTGCAGTCTTCCCTTAAGTCTCTGATCACACTCGGGGACCACAATAGGACATCGGGCACTCACGCCCCCACAGCCCTGTTGCAGCCGGTGCCACTCCGCAGGGCTGCTCGAGTGGAGAGCCAGCCCGTGGCTGCTCACGCTCATCCACGTATCCAGAATCACAGGCCACGGGCACCAGGCGCTGGTGGAAACGTGGGCGCAGCCTCACACAGAAACAGCAACCCTACGTGACGGGTCCTGAGAAGGACAGGCAGGAGCACATGGGAGCCACCTGACCCTGCCATGGGCACTGGGGGACGGCCGTGCCCTGCACCTGGGGAGGAGTGACAGGAGCCTGCCCTGCGGAGCAGAGGTGGGAGGAGGCGCAGGAGGAAGAGGAGGACAGGGTCGCCGGGACCCTGGCCTGTACCTCTCCTTCTGTCCCAACAGCATGATTCTGCCAGGAACTTGGAGTGGCTGAAAACAGTGAAGGAGAGTCACGGGTCTGTAGAACTCTCGTCCCTGTCCCTGGCCAGCGCGATCAACAGCAAAGGCATCTATGTGATCGAGGCACCCAAAGGTGGCCGAAAGGTGAGTGACCCCAGTGCCCGGGCGCAGCTGTGGGCAGCACGTGCAGGCTGCTGCGCGCCCAGGGGCCTCTGCCGCTGGAAAACCGCCTCTAACGCGTGGACTTTCCCAGATTTCCCCAGACGCAGTTCTACGCCTCATCCTCCCTGAGGGTCACGGTGGCCACGAGGAGATGCGGGACTACTCTTTAGAGGAGCTGAAGGAGCTTTTAAACAAGCTGATGCTGATGTCTGGCAAGAAGGATCACAGCAACGCGGAGGTGGACCGATTTTCCGAGGTGAGGACGTGGCCGTGTGGGGCGCTGAGCGGCTGTGAGCATCTTCTGGCTTGGGCTGGGCGCTGTCGCAGCTGCCGCATTTGAGAAGGGGGAGGGTCTGAGCTGGGGTCTGAATGGCGAGACTGGCTCTGCTGTTAGGCCCACGGAGAGTGGAGGTCGCGAGTCGCACAGTGCATGTGGCCCCAGGTCGTGGCCTCAGAGAGAAGTCTACGGCGGGCTGGCCCTTGGGGTAGCAGTTCTCCTTGTGGTCCACAAAAGGAACTGTCACGAGCTGGCAGGTGGTCCACCATTCTGAAGAAACCACCCAGCGAATAGTTCTTAGCAACTTAAATTGCTTCACTTACTCTGCAGATCGGCAAGAATGCAAATGCATAAGATTTAGATGGCGTCCTTCATCCAAACAGAGACCTAGTGATACAGGTGCACCGGTTCTTGTAACAGTCCCTCAATTTTATTGTGGGTTCTTTCTTTAGAGTTCATTTGTACTTTGCAAATGGTAACCTTTATCTCTTCGACCTATTGCTTTCTAGCGACAGCCCCTCTTATTAGGCTGATGACACAGATGAGGAAGGAAGGCCTTCTGTGTGCTCGGGTCACACGGGGAACCAGTGCAAAGCAACAAACCCGAGTCCTTCTGTGATAAGCCTGTGTGTGGTTCTAACTAGCGTGTCACCCTCCAGGGCAGCTCTGCAGTGTCTTCTCCTGTCTCGTTCCCCAGGTGTTCTGCAGCGTGCAGAGGCTGGTCCAGGCCTTTCTAGATCTCTACTCTGCCGGGAACATGCTGTTCAGGAGCTGGACTGCCGAGATCTACTGCTCCCCCAGGAGGGACGTCTCCATCCGCATGGACTTCGGCCTGGGGCTGGTTAACCAGCTGACGGGGAGCGGGGACGTCGCCGGGCTGCTGGAAGCCATCTGCAGGCAGATGGAGCATTTCCTGGGCCACTGGAAGAGATTCGTGACCGAGAAGCGCATGGAGCACTTTCACCTCAACTTCTACACGGCGGAGCAGCTGGTTTACCTGAGCACCGAGCTCAGGAAGGAGACGCCCAGCGAAGCTGCCCTAACCATGCTGTCCTTCATCAAAGGCCACTGCACCCCAAGGGATGTCTTAAGGGCCTCCGTGGGGCACGACGAGGAGGCCGCCAGGTACTGCGTGCGGAGAGTGGTTAAGGAGTTGCACCTGGTGCTCTCCGAGTCCAGCCTGGTGGACAAGCTGAAGGCCATCATGGAAAAGTCCGTGGGCTGCTTGAGTGCCTTCCTGCCCGACTGCCTGGACCTGGAGGCCCTCGGCCGCTGTCTGGCTCACCTGGCGGTGATGGGCGGGCCCCCGCCGGAGCGGCAGCTCCCGGGAGGCCTGCACGTCGGCCAGCCCAACCTCGTCGTCTGCGGCCACTCGGAGGTGCTGCCAGCTGCCCTGGCCATCTACATGCAGGCCCCGGACCAGCCCCTCCCCACCTACGACGAGGTGCTGCTCTGCACCCCGGGGACCACGTTTGAGGAGGTGGCGCTGCTCCTGCGCCGCTGCCTCACCCTGGGCTCCCACGGGCGCAAGGTCTACAGCCTGCTGTTCGCAGACCAGCTGAGCTACGAGGTGGCCTGCCAGGCGGAGACCCTCTTCCAGAGCCTGTGCACGCAGCGCCACCGGGAGGACTACCAGCTCGTGCTGGTCTGCGACTGTGAGCGGGAGCACTGCTACCTGCCCTCGGCCTTCAGCCAGCACAAGGTCCTCGTCACTCCCCAGGCTCCCCTCGAGGCCATCCAGGCCTACCTGGCACGGCATTTCCACGTCCCAGAGCAGAGCCTGTCGGCGGCGGCCGCGTTCAAGGACCGCATGTGTGTTGGCATCGTGGCCTCGGAGAGAGCGGGCGTCGGTAATGAGAATGGGGGCACTGTCTCCGTCTCCCGGGGGGTACCGATGACCCTGGCCTCCTCAGCAGCGGGCGAGTCAGAGGAAGCCCTTCTGCAGGTGGAGACGCGGGTCTCGGGGGCCTGGCTCCGTGTATCAGAGCGGGACACCCTTTCTCACCTGGTTTCCCGCGTCGGGCGGTTCCTGGGACCCCCTACGCCCTTCCTCCTCTAAGCAAATTTCTCTGCAGTTTACTTTTTCCCCTTAAACTCCAGCAGTCTCTCTGGGGTTGACGCTGGTTGACAGAGCAGGGCAGCTGTGACTGCTCTGCCTGGAGAGAGGCTGATGCCTCTGGACCCGCCCATCAGTTGCCATCACGTCCCCCTGAAGAGAAACAGTGGTTTCCGTTCTCTTGCCCCACTAGCAATGCTACAGTCTGTCGGGACGAAGGTGCTCTTCCTCCCCTCCCCGCCCAGCGTGTCTTCGCTGTCAGTGTCACTCACAGTCAGGCTCTGCTTAATGACGTTCCCATTGACAGCAGACCACGTGTGTGGCGTTGGGCCCCTAAGATCAGAACACTGTATCTCAGTGTGCCTTTCTGTGTTCAGAGCCACAAACACTCGCACCGTGTCACGGTTGCCTGTGGTGCTCAGGACGGTCCAGGCGCCGCGGCTATGCCGTGTGGCCTCGGTGTGTAGTGGGCGAGACCTGCTACACCTAGGTTTGCGTAAGCGCTCTGTGATGGTCACACAGCTACTCGGCCGCCTAATGACCGCTTCTCAGAACGCATCCCCGTCGTCAAGTGACGCGTGACTGTGTTTACACTGCTGTCGTCCGTAGCAGGGAAATGGCCAGGACAGTGAGCAGGTGACAGCTAGGACACGTGAGGATTTGAAAGTGTGTTCTTCAATCTGATGCTATATTGCCTCGGTTTTAAATTTTATACAGAAGGAAGTAACTTCCAATAAATCTTCCTGCATCTTCTTACTCTGTCCACGGCCCTGGGACCTAATTTCCGTCTCTGTTATAGGAAAGTCTCTCTACGTGAAGAGATTGCATCACAAATTGAAGCTGATGACCAGCAAGAAAGTGCCTCTGAAAACCATTCGACTGATCGACCCTCAGGTGGATGAGAGCCAAGTCCTGGGCTCCCTCCTGCCGTTCCTGGCTGCACAGTATCAGAAGACACCCGTGATATTCCACGTGGATGTGACCTCTTCGGTAAGTGCCCTTGAACTTCAGCCGGATGGACACGTTGACAAAGACATAATCCCACACTGTGACTTTGCCTCCTCCCTGTGTAAGGAATTTCTTCTTTCTGCGTGGACAGTCCTGCCTCTCTTAACAATAGGGTGTGTTCTGAGAAATGCACCGTTAGGCATTTGTTCATAGATGTTCATAGCCGTGTGAACATCACCGAGGGTGCTTACGCAAACCCACGTGGTCCAGCCTACTGCACAGCGAGGCTTCATGGCCCAGTCTGTTGCTCAAGGCTGCAAACCTGGACAGCACGGCACTGTGCTGAATACTGTGGGAAATCGTAACATGGTGGCATTTGTGTATCTAAACACATCGAAACAAAGAAAAGTACGGTAAAAATGCAGTATCATAATCTCACGGGACCACTGTGGGACAGGTGACCGGTTCTCTGAAACGTTCACAGTGCATGATTGGTGCATGTCTGTATTAATGATCAGTATCTTTCTGTCAGAGAACAAAATAAGAGGATGCTTAGGATTGGAAGAACTCATCATCATTTTGTGTATTTGCAAACCCCTATGATTCTGTCCTTAGGTGCAGACTGGAATTTGGGTGTTTCTTTTCAAACTCCTCATCTTACAGTACTTAATGGATATAAATGGGAAGATGTGGCTCCGGAACCCCTGCCATTTATACGTCATTGAAATCCTGGAAGGGAATTCAGTGCTGCCCGGGAGGTCTTCGACACCGGTCTGTACCGCGGGGCATTTTCTCCTGGTTGGGAGGGTCTCCACTTCCTTCAGCGCCCACTGCAGGGGAGTGATGCGTTGCGGTGATGCACACTTTTGCCTTACTGAAGCAGCTGAGTGCAGTGTTAGTAGAGAAAATTTAATCTTTAAACTTGTTTTTAAATAACGTCTGGAATAAAAATACTCTTCTGGCCAGGCGCGGTGGCTCACGCATATAATCCTAGCACTTTGGGAGGCCAAGGTGGGAAGATCGCTTGAGGCCAGGAGTCCGAGGCCAACTTGAGCAAGAGCAAGACCCTATCTCTACAAAAAAATATAAAAGAAGCCAGGCATGGTGGCACATATAGTCCTAGCTACTCCGGGAGGCTGAGCCAGGAGGATCACTTGAGCCCAGGAGTTTGAGACTACAGTGAGATATGATGCCACTGTACTCTAGCCCAGGTGACAGAGCAAGACCTTGCCTCAAAAAAAAAAAAAGAATACTCCTCTATTAATCAGCAGTATCTTAAATTTGTTTGTTCAATTCAGGCATAATGCTGTATGTCACAGTTTAAATCCCAGCTGTGCACTGAACATGGTAAATTCATTTGCAGAGAGAAGTCATCTTTCTTGCCAGCTAAGATGGGAAGGAGACTTTTGTTGGAAACTTCTTAGCAAAAGGGAGTCCTATGCTCACACACATGTGTATACGTCTGTGCTTAATGGGGAAGTCTAGTTGCAGGAAGTTGGGCTAGAAAATGCCCTCTTTTCCTAAGAGTGCAGCTCCCACCATTCAGCCTCCAAAATACCCTAATGTGCAAAAAATATCCTATGTAAAAGTAAGCGTCTATGGGAAGCTACATATTTTTAAGTGATTTTTTTCATAAAGGTTTATCCAATATAGATCCCGTGGAGGGCTGAAACATGAAAAGCATTTGTTAGGAGACTTAGTTGTAACCATGTTATCCACGTCTCTCCTTTCCAGGGTGCACGGACCCCCCAGTTCAGTTTTCTTGACATCTTCCCAAAAGTCACCTGCAGGCCTCCCAAAGAAGTGCTGGACATGGAGCTGAATCCTGAGAGGAGCCATGGAGAGCCGGGGATGGATCTCATAGAGTTCTGCAGCGAAACTTTCCAAAGACCTTACCAATATTTAAAACGATTCCATCAAAACGAAAACCTCGACCTGTTTCAGTACCAAGAAGGCTCCATCGAAGGCACCCCGGAGGAATGCCTTCAACACTTCCTGATTTACTGTGGGGTGATAAACCCATCCTGGTCAGAGCTTCGGAATTTCGCGCGGTTCTTGAATTACCAGCTCCGAGACTGCGAGGCCTCTCTGTTTTGCGATCCAGATGTTATTGGAGACACACTGAAGGGCTTCAAGAACTTTGTGGTGACTTTCATGATCCTTATGGCAAGAGATTTTTCCACACCGACACTTGACACCTCTGACCAAAGCCCAGGGAAGCACACAGTCCCCATGGATGGGGTTAAGGAAGAAGATCTGGCCCCTTTCTCCCTCCGGAAGCGGTGGGAGTCAGAGCCCCATCCATACGTTTTCTTCAACGATGACCACACCTCCATGACATTCATAGGCTTCCATTTCCAGCCCAACCAGAATGGCGGTGTGGACGCCATCAACCACTTGACTGGGAGCGTGATCAAGAGGAACGTCATGACCATGGAGCTGTACAGTGGGCTGCTGCTTCAGAGGGTGCCCTTCAATGTCGACTTTGATAAACTGCCCAGGCACGAGAAGCTCGAAAAGCTCTGCCTGGCCTTAGGGATCCAGTGGCCCATTGACCCTGATGAAACGTACGAGCTTACAACAGACAACATGCTGAAGATCCTTGCCATTGAGATGCGGTTCCGATGTGGGATCCCGGTGATCATCATGGGAGAAACTGGCTGCGGGAAAACCAGGCTCATCAAATTCCTGAGCGACCTGCGGCGTGGTGGTGCCGATGCTCAAACGATAAAGTTGGTCAAGGTCCATGGAGGAACGACTGCAGACATGATCTACTCCAAAGTCAGGGAGGCTGAGGATATCGCTTTCCTCAATAAGGCCGAACATCAGCTGGACACCATCTTGTTTTTGGACGAAGCCAACACAACGGAAGCCGTAAGCGCTATCAAAGAAGTCCTGTGTGACCACACGATGGGCGGCCAGCCCCTGGCTAAGTGCTCTGGCTTGCATGTGATAGCTGCCTGCAACCCTTACCGGAAGCACTCTGAGGAGGCCATTTGTCGTCTGGAGTCCGCCGGTTTGGGCTACCGGGTCAGGGCGGAGGAGACGGCAGACAGGCTGGGCTCCATCCCCCTGAGACAGCTGGTGTACCGTGTCCATGCTCTGCCCCCGAGCCTGATTCCTCTGGTGTGGGACTTTGGACAGCTGAATGACACTGCTGAGAAGCTCTACATCCAGCAGATCGTCCAGAGACTAGTCGACTCCATCCGCCTAGAACCGGACGAGACTCGTGTGATCGCAGAAGTGCTTTCTGCCTCTCAGGGTTTCATGAGGAAGAGAAAAGACGAGTGCAGCTTTGTCAGCCTCAGGGACGTGGAGCGCTGCGTGAGAGTTTTCAAATGGTTTTACGACCACAGTGAGATGCTTTTAGTAAAACTGAATTCGTTGGTCTGCGAGTCCAACACCAGCAGAAGTCATGTCCAGAGAGACCCCATCCTCTGGTCCCTGGTACTGGCAATCGGCGTGTGCTACCACGCCTCTTTAGAAAAGAAAGATTCGTATCGCAGAGCCATTTGCAGGTTCTTTCCAGAACCGTATAATGACAGCAAGATTATTCTGGAGGAAATCACTCGAACACAGGATCTTTTTCTCAACGGTGTCCCTCTGAGGAAAACCATCGCCAAGAACTTGGCTTTGAAGGAGAACGTCTTCATGATGGTCATCTGCATTGAGCTCAAGATTCCTCTCTTCCTGGTGGGGAAGCCTGGCAGCTCCAAATCTCTGGCCAAGACCATTGTGGCAGACGCCATGCAAGGCCAGGCTGCTTACTCGGATCTCTTCCGGAGCCTGAAGCAGGTCCACCTGGTGTCGTTCCAGTGCAGCCCGCATTCCACCCCGCAAGGCATCATAGGCACCTTCAAGCAGTGCGCCCGCTTCCAGCAGGGGAAGGACCTGCAGCAGTATGTCTCCGTGGTGGTGTTAGACGAGGTGGGGCTGGCGGAAGACTCGCCCAAAATGCCCCTGAAGGCTCTGCACCCGCTGCTGGAAGACGGCTGCATTGAAGATGATCCTGCTCCTCACAAGAAGGTCGGCTTTGTGGGCATCTCCAACTGGGCCCTCGACCCCGCCAAGATGAACCGGGGTATCTTTGTGTCACGCAGCAGCCCCAGCAAGCGGGAGCTCATGGAGAGTGCCAAGGGCATCTGCTCTTCGGACAGCCTCGTTCGGGACAGAATCCAGGGCTTCTTTGCACCCTTTGCCAAAGCCTACGAGACAGTGTGCAGGAGCCAGGACAAGGAGTTCTTTGGGCTTCGTGACTACTACAGCCTCATCAAAATGGTCTTTGCCATGGCTAAAGCCTCTAATAGAAAGCCTTCCCCACGAGACATTGCACAGGCTGTCCTCCGAAACTTCAGCGGCAAAGATGACATCCACGCTCTGGACATTTTTACAGCCAGTTTACCCGAGGCAAAGTGCTCAGAAGAAGTCAGCACCGTGCAGTTGATCAAGCAGAACATCTACGGGGCTCTGCAGAAGGCGCCGGGCAGAGAGCTGGAGGACGTGGACTCTCGCTACTTACTCGTGCTGACCAAAAACTACGTGGCCCTGCAGATCCTGCAGCAGACGTTCTTCAGCGAGGGCCAGCAGCCGGAGATTATTTTTGGTTCCAGTTTTCCCAGGGACCAAGAGTACACCCAGATCTGCAGAAACATCAACCGCGTGAAGATCTGCATGGAAACGGGCAAGATGGTGGTGCTGCTGAACCTGCAGAACCTCTACGAGAGCCTCTACGACGCGCTCAACCAGTACTACGTCTACCTCGGGGGTCAGAAGTACGTGGACCTTGGTTTGGGGACCCATCGTGTCAAATGTCGGGTTCACCCAGACTTCCGCCTGATAGTCATCGAAGAAAAGGACGTTGTGTACAGACACTTCCCCATCCCCCTAATCAACCGGCTGGAGAAGCACTATCTGGACCTGAGCACTGTGCTGGAGAAATGGCAGAAGAACATCGTGGACGAACTCGAGACGTGGGTGGCGAAATTCATCCACATGAAGGCGGATCCGTTCCTAGCCAGACACAAGTACAGCCCTTCCGACGTCTTCATCGGCTACCACTCTGACACCTGCGCCTCCGTGGTGCTGCAGGTCACAGAGAGGCAAGGGCCCAGGGACCCGACCGAGGAGCTCTACCAGAAGGTGTCCATGGAGGCCAAACTGATCCTGCTGGATTGCGCCACCCCCGACGCCGTGGTCCGGCTGAGCGCCTCCTCGCTGGGCTTGTTCGCCGCCCAGGCTCTGTCTCGGGAATACTACCACACTCAGCAGCACAACTCCTTCGCGGATTTCCTGCGGGCTCACCTTCACACGACACACCTGGAACGCTGTGCCGTCTTCACAGAGGTGACCGTCTTTCTACAGTTTCACTCTATGCTCTTTCGCCTAAAAGTCCTGAATCCCTAGTGCCAAGATTCAGGATTCTTTTCAAGTCGGTGTACAGGGATCGTAGTGGATCATAGTGGGTATGCTGACACTTTTGGTTCTTCTCCGTGTTGAGAGCAAGGAGGTCAAGTATTTACGTGAGTTCCATTTAGCCAAGTTTTGAGTGTCTACTTCTGTGCGGGGCTCCGTGCTGACAGCAGCACCATATACAACATTCACGTCAACAGATGAAGCACCGAGGCTAAGTCCTGAGCTAAGGACACCGGGGATGTAAAAATCAATGGGCCCAGTGCTTGTCCTTGGTCTTGTCCACGTGTAATGTGGGAAGACTGGCACGTCATCCCTAGAGGCCGTGGATATTGTACGATAAGCGAATGCCATGTTCAGAGCAGAGAGGGGCAGCGCAGATCAGGATACAAGGGCAGACGAGATTTTCTCTAGGAGAGGCCCCTCCAGCTGGCCGGGAAGGGATCATGGGCAGAGGGCCTTCATGGGCGAAAGTTAAGGTGTGATACAGCACCTTCTGTGTAGGAGACCACAGGGCGCCATTGACCAAGCTTCGAATTCAAGGCTGTGAGTGCTGAGACGGGGGAGGAGGAGCCATCAGAGAGAACTCGTCGAGGGCCGTGTGGGTCGCGCTGCAGAGCTCTGTCTTTGCTGTGCAGAGGGGAGTGACGGAGGAGTGTGTGTTTAGACGCGTCCCTCTGCCGGGGTGATGGAGAGAGAGTCTGACGAAAGAAAGACCATTGTAGAAAAGACAGACCAGCCTGGAGGCTGCTGGAACAGGGTCGGGGAGAGGCGTGGACGGAACTGAGAAATGGGATGCAAATTGGCGGGCTAGGGACACCCACAGAGGGGCCCTGGGGGTGTAGTTGCGGAGGGAGGACTCCCCGGATTCCTCCCGAGAGGGCTGGAGGGTGGCTTCATTGTGATAGATAATCCAGGAATGAGCAACAGATTTTGGGGGGCCAATGGCAAAGTCCATTTGGGACGTGTTTTGCTGTCTGTCCTGCAGGTGGGTGTAGGAGGCTGGAGCTCAGTGGTAAAGCCAGGCCTGGAGATGGGATCTGTGAGCTAAGACCTCAGCATGTCTTAAGGAGCGCTTGGGTTTGCGCTATGGGGCGTGATCCACTGTAGAGGAGAACTGCTAACTGCTAACAGCGGGGGGGAAGGAACTGCTAACTGCTTCTGGAAGCAGAAAGCTAGATGGTAAGAAGTGGCATCTGTGCTGAGCCCTGAAGGGTCATGAGAATCTCAAGTAGGGACCAAAACAGGAAGGGACGCAGGCATCCAGGAAGGAGACTAAGGCATCTTTGGGGCAGGGTGAAGTGTTCTCTCCGATACCTTTTGATCCTGTAGGTTCCACTGGCCTCAGCACCGCCTTGGTTTTGAAAACTCTGTGGGTTTGGGTTCTTTCCCATCGGTACCAGCGCTGAGCCCGTAGAAGACGTCGGCTGAACATCCTCAATTTCTGGGATCTAAACCTACTTGAACTCTGGAAAATAATTTGCGTTTCCTAACTTTGCAGATCACCACTTTCTCCAGACTGCTGACGAGTCACGACTGTGAAGCCTTAGCGTTGGAGCTAGGAGGCGGGGCTCAGAAACCCACGGTCCTGTGGCTGCAGCAGTTTGACACCGAGCACGCCTTCCTCAAGGAAGTCCGGTGAGCTGCCCTGCCAGGCCTCCCCTCCCCGCCCCCACCAAGGTGTGTTTCTCCCGTGCGGCTCTGGTGCCAGCTTTGGTTAGCGAGCACTGGGGACGTGCGGCTGTGGGAAGGGTCACTGTTGAATCCCCGGGTGTCCTCCTCACTCTCACGTCCTGCAGCCCCGCACCTGCCATGACATCGTGCTCTGAAACCACTGTCCTCGTATCATGTTAGGAAGCATTGATTGGGTTTTTAAAAATTTCTCCACGACATTGTCTGTTCATCTTACAGGAGAAAAATCCCACCTGAGCGGTTCTTTCTACGTAGCCTTCCTATTTTCCATCACTTTGGGGAATTCTGTTATCCATTTTTTAGGACAGAGAACTCACTTGAATAATTTCCTTTTCTTTCAGAAACTGCTTAACTTGTGCAGCCAGATGTAAAATCCTCATTATTCAGACAGATTTTGAAGACGGAGTTCAGAGTGCTCAGTTCGTTGCCTCGGCTAAGTACGTTTTTTAGTATTTTCTTCAGAAAACTACCTAGGAAACCCAAAGTTTACTGAGGAGCTCCTAAAGAGTTTCTTCCAGGATAGTATCATAATAAATGTAGAAATGCCCCTACGCATTCCCCCATGTGGACTAGAGAAACTGGAGAGACGAAAAGAAAAGGCTAAAAACAACGCTAAGACGGTGAAATGCAGGAAGCGTGAATGATAGAAATTGTAACAGGACATAAGTGGATGTCCTTGAAGCATATGTGTGCAGAAATGCTTTAGTAATTGTTAACTTTGAATTACACATTTTTTATTTATTGCCAGTTCAAGCGCAATAACGGTATGTAAATGCTTTCGTTCATGTTTAGTGGACGTTTTTATCGTGTTCATAAGGGGAAATCTGAATTAACTATGTTCCCTTATTACTTAATTCCCTTATTGCTTACTGTTAAAGTGAAAGTGATTTCTGGGCCCTTTTAAAGCATGGGATGCCACGTTTCGCTTCATGGCTGAGCGGCATCCCAGTGAGAAACGGGCTCGGGAGAACCGCGTGCGCACAGAGCTCCTCCTGGAAGGGGAGGGCTCAGCCAGCCCCACCTGTGTCGTGGCGGGGCCGGCCTCTGCGGGGCACAGACAGGGGTTCTGGACAATAAACGGATGCCACTTCACAGCAGAGGGACACAGCAACGGGCAAGAAGACGAGCCTACTAAGAAAGGACTCCTCATCCCCTCCTGAGAGAAGAAATCACAGGCGTGGGGGTGTGAAGTTTATTTAAAGCCAGTCAAAATGGGAGGCCGCGAGACTGAGCCTAACAGCTCCGAGGACGCCCTGAGCAGCTGGGCTGTGTTGCTTTGTTTCTCTGCTTGTTCTGTTTTGATTTTTCTTTGTTTGTGAAATAGGTATTCTGCTGTGAATGAAATCAACAAGGTACAAGGAAACGAGGGCCGTGTCTTCGTCTATTTCATCACAAAACTGTCCCGGATGGGAAGCGGAACATCCTATGTGGGATTCCATGGAGGTAGGACCATAACATTAGTGAATGTATCTGTTTAGATACTGTTTGGGTTATTTGTCATTTGGTCCTGTGTTGTACATGTCTGAAATGATTAATGTTAATCGCAACAATTTTCAGATGCAATTAGATTTCTTACCACTAATTACTGTAAAAAACACTGATCTTGGGACTTGATGCTGCCTCACTTAGCATTTCCTTTACTTACTTGTAGGTAACCCCTGGATTAGTCCCTCTGGCCCCACCTGTTGTTAAGTGGACAACAGAGAGGAGATTCCTGACCCCCACTGGCATGAGTGCACCCATAGCTCGTGCCTGTCTCGGGGGCCGGGGATGGTATCTTCAAATCTTCCTCTCTCTTTTTTCTGAGTAATAGTGAACAACTACTTAGGATGTAGGAAAATCGGTATTCTAGAAGTAGGGAAATAAATTTAGTTTAATGAATTCACAGATAACGGAAGGCAGGCTTTGCCGATGCCTTGCTAATGACGATACAGCAAATCTAAGAACGCATTTATGAAAGAATCGCAGGCCTCGTCCAGATATCCTTCCCAAGTCTGTTATTTCAGGTCTTAAAACGGATTTTATGCTGAAGTTGTTCAGAGGCACATCAAGAAGTGGGTCGGGTGATTTCCGTGTCAGCACACGGAAAAGGGGTCAGTCTCCCAGTCATTCATTTACTGTCAGTGCAGCTGACACTCAGGACGTGCAGTGTGTCCCTGCTTGTGACTTACGAGAAGACGCGAGAAGATTCCTCGTGGCTTTGTTCTTCACAGGGCTATGGCGGTCTGTGCACATTGACGACCTCCGGAGATCCACAGTCATGGTTTCGGACGTGACTAAACTGCAGAGCGTCACGGTCAGCCAGCTGTTCGAGCCGGGAGAGCAGCCCGAGCGTGAGTGGCGAGGGGCCGATGGGCAGGCCTCAGGGGCGGGTGGTGCTGGCAGGCAGGGCCGTGCCGCCGTCACCTCCGCAGGAGCTCAGCACAGCCGTGGCATGACTGGTGACTCCTCTAGAGCACAGGGCCACGCAGAGGGTAAATAGTCCCATGTGCAGGAGTGGACCTCTGCGAGTAGGGACGGCCGTGGAAGTGAGTCAGCTCCGTCTGCCTCGGCTGCAGGCGGGAGGGAAGGAGTTGCCGCCGGTGGGCCGCGCTCAGTGGGTGCCTTTCGCGCTGGTCTTCATGACAAATATCCTCCTGTCTGGGGACCCACCACAGAGCTGGGGGCTGGGGACGCCTGGGAAGGTGGAGCCCAAGCATGCAGACCCCCAGACAGTGCTGCCGGCACTCCCGGTCCCACCTTCCGAGTGGTGACCGGATCGCATTGGCTCCGATTGCAGTGGAGATGGGACGTGGGGCGGAAGATGACCGAGAGGAGGCGATGGAAACAGAGAGTAGCAGATCGGGAGAAACGGCAGACGTGGACATGGAGACGGAAAGTTCTGGGAGGACGGAAGATGAAACCTCCCAGATGGGAGGCAGTGACGTAAGTTCTGGTTTTTCTGGCCCCCCCACGTGCTGCTGGGTGACACTTTTGAGCTGCATCTTCCTACTTTTCCCCCAGAAATTAGAGGAGTCAATGCAGCCGTACTGGGGGGGGCGGTTAGGCTGATGTCTCTCGTCCCCAACACGAGTGACCCTCTCCTGGCTGGTTGTCAGGGTATCAGCCAAGGGCACCGGTGCCGGCAGGTGGTAGGTTGGCAGTGTCGGCTGTCAGTGAAGACCACCCCGTGGTGCTTGGGTGCCTCACGGACACCTCCCTGGGGCTCACGGCAGTAGTTGGGTAGTTTGGCTTTTACCCGCCATGGACGTGGCAGACACGGAAGACTTGGCTGTCCCCATCGACAGGTGCGGATCCTGGACACCACCCGGCTGCTGAGGAGCTGCGTGCAGAGCGCCGTGGGGGTGCTCAGGGACAAGAGCGAGAGCTGCAGGCGCAACATGAGGAGGGTGGAGCTCCTGCTCGGCCTCTTCAGTGAGGACGACGAGTGCAGTGGTGAGTCTCCCGCCCCTCGCCCACCCCGTGCGGGCTCTTCCCGAGGAGTGTGACTCGTCCCGCCCGATGTCGAGGGGACGCCCTTCCAGGTTCCTGTGGCTCAGCAGAAGTGGCTGACACAGCGGGAATCTGAGAGCATCTCTCAAATTTCACTCCAGAGGTGGCCTGGCCAGAGGACTCCCTCCTGGCGGGCGGGTCGGAAGCCGCGGAGCCCGCAGGGCGGTGCCCGCGGATACGCTCAGTGTCCGTCCCCTCTGCCCTTGACAGCCTCTTTCCTGCGGGTGACCAAGATGCGCCTCCATGATCTTTTAAAGAAGCAAGAAGAGAACCACCTGCACAGTCTGAAGGAGTGGGTGGCGAGGGAGGCTTCGAACCAGGACGCCCTCCAGGAGGCGGGCACGTTCAGGTACCCAGACGGGAGCGCACGGGAGCGGAGTCTGCACCGCGGCGGGGTGTGGCCCCGTGTGCCGGAGCCTCCTCTCCAGCAGAGCGCCGAGGCTTCCAAACCTCAGAGCAAGTCAAAGCTGTTGTTTTTCCTCCAGGAGCACAAAACGAACCTGGGTGGTGGTTATATGGGGCTTGTTGGACTCTTTTCTCTACTTCTGTGTATGTTTAAAATTTTTCATAATAACAAAACTTGAAGAAATAGACATCTGTTCTTACAGGAGGTAAACGTTTACTAGCATGTTGTAAACCATGGGAAGGGAGCCTATTTTTGGTAATTAAATTAGAAAGGTGATATGCGGGGAGGGAACAGCAATGATTTTCCAAGTCCTGCTGCTCAAAGTAACGATGATGACAAAAATAGGACCCAAGAGTGTCATTACTGCCCGCGGTCCTTGACCCTTTGCTCGGGACTAACCCGCGATGACCTCTGAAGGCCACGTGTTTTCGGAGGAAGGTCTCCGAGACAGAGATCCCAGCCCTCCGGGCTTGCGGGGCCATAAACTGCTGACTGCCTCGTCTGCTCTCAGCTTCCTCGTCTCTAAGAGAAAGCTGAGTCCAGCCCTCGGTCCCCTTCTGCCTGCCGCACCTGCGCTCCGGGGCCACGTGGGAAAGAGCCGGCGCTGACAGGACAGGGCGAGCTTGCTGGCGCTCCGCACGGCAGGGGCTTCTCTGTTTCTGTTTTTTCCTCTAGTTCTCCTCGTTTCTTTCCTCGTTACACCTTCTGCAGGAATTTTGTAAGATCAGGTGTGGACCTGGAAATATTTTCGCTTCCCTTGGCTGCTGCTTGTGGGTTGCATTAATACTTCTCCAGATCCGCACGTCCAGCCCCCGCTTCGGCTGCCCCTGGGTCGCAGGGTGTCTTCCGTGGGCGAGTGTGCAGCACCGCCCAGCCGCTTTTCCCTGCTCTGCTGGTGACCACAGCACCGAGGACTGGCTCTGTCCCTTCCACGGGCACCAGCAACGTCTGCCCGGCTGCTGAGTCTGGGGTCAGAACTGTGCCTGTTCACACCACCTGTTTCAGAGCCGGGCGGTGCTCCAAGGGCCGCTGGTTGACTGTTACGAGACTTGGGGACCAGCTTGGGAATGCCATGGTCTCTGGACTTCAGTCATTTGCTGCCTTGGGATGGGACAGCCCAAATCCTTGGAGTCCTTCTCTCCCGGCTCCCAGCTCTGCGCACCCCTCCAGATACAGCCGAATAAGGCTCAGCAGCTCCCGTGGGCGGCTTTGACCTCTCGCTTTTGTAGCGCTGTTCTCCTCCTGGCTGCGTGAACATCTCAGCCAAGGCGATCGCTTTGCTCAGTGGCAGGCTTAGTTTGCTCGCTAGACATTTTAAGATTCTCTTTAGGTTCCCGTGTGTTATAAACTTTAAAAAGTGTTTCTTTTTATTCTTTTCAAAATAGAGCCTTCATTTCTCTTCCCAACGTTCTTAGAATTACAAAGAATACCTAGTAATTCTTATCCTTTACCACAAGAATTTTGAAATGAAATACAGAGGTTTTATAGGTAAACACTAATTATAACAAAATGTAATGTACTTAATTGAACCATTATCTATATATCTATAAAATAGCCAGATATACGAAAACATCGACAACTAAAACTAAGTTCTAGATAAACATGCTTTCTTGTTTAATGTGATCTGGAACAAACTTATTTTGGTCTCTTCCACTTTGTTATGTTCTATCCACAACTGATTTTTTTCTTAAAACATTGATTCTTTTTCTGGCCGGGCGCGGTGGCTCACGCCTATAATCCTAGCACTCTGGGAGGCCGAGGCGGGCGGATTGTTTGAGCTCAGGAGTTCGAAACCAGCCTGAGCAAGAGCGAGACCCCATCTCTACTAAAAATAGAAAGAAATTAATCGGACAACTAAAAATATATAGAAAAAATTAGCCGGGCATGGTGGCGCATGCCTGTAGTCCCAGCTACTTGGGAGGCTGAGGCAGGAGGATCGCTTGAGCCCAGGAGTTTGAGGTTGCTGTGAGCTAGGCTGATGCCACGGCACTCACTCCAGCCAGGGCAAAAGAGTGAGACTCTGTCTCAAAAAAAAAGAACATTGATTTTTTTTCTAAATGAGTTGGTCATTATTTTCTTTATTTATAGGAATTAGATGACTTGTTCTGGAAAACAGTTACATGTATTAAAAGCAAGTACTACTTCACCTTTTCAGGGACCTAATTACAGTTTATTAGATGTAGAATTACGCTCCATTCCAGTTCTGCCTCTAATCATAGATATTTCCATTTGTGAGTTTCTTTTCTAGTACTTAGAAATTATGAAAATTTCAGTTTACAGCCATAGCTACGGTGCAGCAATTAGTAGACTAGATGTTTTGCTGATGCTCAAGAAGGAATGAAATGTCCAAGGATGGCAGGTACCGCGCCGTGGTTACTTTCAACTGTGACGGGGTCCCCTCTGTCTCCTGTGTTGCAGGCAGACCCTTTGGAAGCGAGTCCAGGGTGTTGTCACACCTCTCCTGGCGAGTATGATATCGTTCATCGACAGAGACGGAAACCTCGAGCTCCTGGCCAGGCCAGATTCTCCACCCTGGGCAAGAGATCTTTGGATGTTTATTTTCAGAGACATTAAGCTTCTGAACATTCCTCTTGTGATGAATAACGCAAGGTGAATAAAGACTTTCTTTTGATGGAAAGGAGGAAAAAATCATAATATAGCAACACTTTTAGTATGTTCTTCCAAGCGTTTGATAAAACACAGATACTGCCTTTAGAATAACATTTATGTTGGCTCTTTTTGCTGCCTAGAGGATTATGGCGTTGCAAAAGGAAGTTTACTGAAGTTCTGAGAAATCCTTATTTCATTACCACCCTCTTCATTTCCCTGCTTTCAGAGCGCCCACTATAGCTGGAGTAGCCGGATGCAAACGGGTGTGTGACGGGGCCGCCGTGCTTAGGAGAGCTGTGGTCCGTGTTCCCCTTTCCTGTCCCTCGGTCCACGGGAGGAGCTGCACAGCCCACTCCTCAGCCTGACCTTACAGAGCTCAGCTCAGCTGGCCTCCGGAGAGCTTCCTCTTTGCATTCAGGGGGCTTCAGTTCTGGGACATGGGTTAATAAGGAATATATAAATATAAATAAGCGGAATTCTGAATTGCCAGAGGAAGCTCTTACTTAGAAGACAAGGTGCTGCTGATGTTCGAGAAAGAACCGCTCTGACAAGTTGTGCTCTGTATTAAGAGGAATCAGAGAAGAACAGGTTCGGGTACTAGAAGACTTGTTCTGCCAGAGATTGTGGGCAACTTACTCCACCAGCCTTCGTTTGTTTTTGTCTGTAAAGCAAAGGGATTGCGTGAGGTAGTCCCCTAGTTCCTTCACGACAGAAACCCTGAACTGTAGAGCGGACCGCAGCTGTCTGTGCAGCCTCTCAGCACCCCGTGTTCGGGGACTGAAGGGAACTGAGGACAGCGGTTCTTGCCGTGTATTCTGAGTGACGTCTCACAAGCCACATTCTTGTCCTTGTTCGCCTCCTTGCAGACCTCAGAGTGAGATGTCCTCCATCATGGTGCAGAACTACATGAACCTTTCCGAGAATGCTTCCAATGACGTCCCGTTTAGCTGGAGAATCAAGGACTACCTGGAGGAGCTTTGGGTGCAGGCTCAGTATATCACAGATGCGGAAGGTGAGGCCACCCCGGGACAGGGAGGTCTGGCACGGGTGAACCAGCCTGTTACTCACAGAGACTTTGCCTGACCATAAGCGAGTAGACAGACGGCTGTCTATCCCGAGGTTCATTTTGGAGGTTTTAGTTTTCGCACTGTTTGTGGAATAGCCTCAAATGTGTGCCATTCCTTCATCTAAAGTTTCTGCGGAAGGAGCGAGAGTCCCCAGCAGGGATCAGGAGCCTTCCGGTCCCATGGCAAAGGGAGCCGTGAGAGGAGTGTCAGTGCCATGGTGGCCAGGGGTGCGGCGGAATGGGGCGCATTCTGGCAGGATAGGACTGTTCCCTGCCACAAGCTGGGCATTCCCGTTCCGAGGTTTCTGGAAACTCGGGCACGAAACTCAGGGGATATCTTCAGCTGTGCCTTTCACGGAAAATGCCAGCCCCTAGAGCATCCTCTTCCCCCACACTGAGCTGTCAGTGCCTCCGGGTCACACAAGCCCAGGCTGGCGCTCGCTCTGCTGCTGAACGCCAAGGAGTTTGGCCACCGTCATTCCAGAAACACCAAGGATTACGCAACATTTTTGGAAAAGGCGTCTTTCATTCATGAAATAACCTTTTCACCATTTCCTTACAATACTGGTGAAAACACTCAGATGAGCTTATTTTTCTAGCCAAGCATTCTGCCGCTTTTCCTGGACAAACTTGAAGTAGTCTTTGCCCTTTTTCCAGGGCAGTGCTCTGACCGACCCTGCTTTCCTGTGATACGAGCCCCTTGGGGCCGGCTCCCCATCCGCTAGAAGCCAGATCTTTCTGGTGTGAGGCTTCTGTGTCCCCAGCCCCTCAAGAGCAGCCCACTCGCTCCTGATTTACTGGGACCCTGGGTTCCTGGGCATGTTGGGACTTGTAGACATGCAACATACAACTCTGGTCTCTGACTCCAGACGGTTTTTACCCTTTGGGGCTAACTTGGCTGTTTGTGACCAAAATTTACCATCGATTCTGCCTTCCTTCTCTATTCCACTGGAAAATACCTTACATGTCTAGACAGTGACCGTCCCTTTTATGCCCCATAAGATCAGGCAGTTGGGGCCCCTTATCTGGGCTCCCACCCGGCAGAGCCTTGCCCGCTGCTGCCGCTCACCACGGCCCTGCTCCTGCATGGGCCAGCCGGGCTCTTCCGCACGTGAGGGGAGACTCGGGATTTAGAGTCGCGCTCCACGCCACTCTCCGGTTTCCTCTCTGCAGGGGTGTCACGGAAGTTAGTGGAAATCTTCCGGCAGACTCCGCTGGGCGTGTTTCTCGCCCAGTTCCGTGAAGAGCGGCAGCAAGAGCTTCTGCAGCGCTACTGCGCGGACTTTCTCCTCCTGACCATGAGCATGTCCACGCCGGAGGAACTAAAGGTAGAGACTGACACGGGGTCAAGTGTGCAGCTTGTGTGCTGTGGACCGGACGCAAACGCAGGCACGTGTCCTCGGCTGCGGGGAGCCGACGGGTGGGGGAAAACATGCCGTTTTTGTAATTTGAAAATATATACTAAAAACTTTTTCGAACCCCAGCTTCTGCAGATGGCTCTGTGGTCCGGCATCAGTGAACTGAGAGCAGCGTCAGGAGGGCCGGAGCAAGGGGTCTCCTTACCTTGGGTGCACCTCGCCTACCACCGCTTCAGGAGCCGGCTGCAGAACCTCTCCAGGATCTTGAGCATCCACCCCCAAGTTCTACGGAGCCTGGCGCAAGCCTCGCGGAGCCACGACCTGGCTGGCCGTGAGATGGTATGGCCCCTCTGGGGGAAGGCCCAGGCCTCGGCCAGCCCCACGCAAGTGTAGGGGTGCTTCCAGCTCCACCCTGGGAATGGAAAGCTTGGGGGGCTGTGCTCCCAACAGGAGGCTTCTTCACGCGGCACACGTGTCAGTATAACTCAGAGATGTTAGGAACACATCTAACTAATGCTTCCTATATCTCAACACAATAAAAGATTAGGTTACAAGCCTGGAACACAAGAACACACTGGGCGAACAGCCAGGCCTCTGGCCTAAGGGTTTAGAGCAGCCCCCAAAAAAGGAAAAAGGTGGGGAAGGAGGGCCATAGCTCAGGCACGCACCCGTTCCCATGTCCCCAGACACTGGATGCGTTTGCAGCGATGGCCTGTGTGGAAATGCTGACGAGAGACGCCCTGAAGCCCAGCCCCCAGGCCTGGTTGCAGCTGGTGAAGAACCTCTCCATGCCGCTGGAGCTCGTCTGCGCCCACGGGCACGTGCACGGCAGCAGAAGGCTGACCGAAGCTGTCAGGGAAGTCAGGTGAGGCCCAGGAGCCCGTCCCTGCTGCCTGTGCCCGCCAAGGGCCTGCCACGTCCTGGGCACGTCCGCGAGAAGCACTAGCAGATACTCCTGCTGCGGGAAGGGCTCTTTCCTCTCTCACTCGCTTTGCGTTTGTCGAACCCTTATTAAGCGCCGGGCATCTCGTGATGCTGCGGACACAAACGAAGGCTGCGCGTTCAGGGAGCGGATCGTCGTGATGCCGCATGGGGAAGGCTGCGCAGAAAGGAGCAGTTAGAAAGGACACCGGGGTGGGCGGGACGGGCGAGGAGGGTACAGGCCATCAGGGTCAGAGAGACGGTTCCCGCGCCACTGGGCTCTCGAGGCGAGGTGGGACTGAGCCGGTCGCGGTGGCGGCGTGTGCTGAGGGAGGGCGTGTGGGAGTCGAGTCTCGTCTGAGCGGAGCGTCTGAGAGCGGGCACGGGTGGCGGGTCGGGGAACGCGTCACAGGCGTCCGTGCGGAATCCCTGCTGCCGGCCTGTGCCCGGGGCCCTCTCTTCTCTCCCTGTCCTCTGCCTCCACACCTGCCTCCCTCCCCCCGTCCTTGTTTTGTCCCTGAGTGAGTGACACCCCTCTTTTGACAGAAACCAGTGGAATCGGATTTTTTCCACTGCACTCTTCGTGGAGCATGTGCTCCTGGGGACGGAGAGCCAGGTCCCCGAGTTAAGCAAGCTGGTGACCGAGTACGCCTTCTTGCTGGACAAGGTGAGTACGTGGGCTCGGCTTGCGGTGAGGACGGGTCCGCCTCTTCGCACAGCGAGGAGTGATGAGACGTGACCTGCGCTCGTGTGCAGGTCAGTGCGCTCCCCTCCAGCTCGCCGAGAACTTGTCTAGAGGGGTAAAGGAACGTGCTTTCATCAACAAGCCAGTACATTTTCAATGTCTAATCGCTTCATTATTTACCTTCTCCTGTAAGTCGGGGCGTATCGTTCAGGGTTCTGTCGCGTAAGGAGAAACTCTTGCAGGAATCGCATGCAGACAGGGACCCGTGCAGGGAACAAGCTAGTGAAAACTCGGGGAGCAATTACCGGGCTTCTGGGGTAACCCCAGAGCAGACCACCAGCCTGGCTCTCTGGGGGAGCTGCTTGTTACCGTTGCCACGGTCAAGGAGACAAGATGCAGGAGAATGCCACTGGGATTGGGGACTTCAGAGCAGAGTGCTGTCCATGGGACCGAGAGAACAGGAAGCCACCACGCCGCTGCCCCTTAACACCCTTTATACAGCTAGTGACAGCACTGGACAGCGCCCCTGCAGAAAGAGCCACCGACTCTGTGACCAAGCGACGACGGCTGCTCAGCAGAACACGGCCTCTGCCTCGCTCACCCCGTGGCCTGCACAGGGCCACGTCCAGAGGTCTTGCCGTCAGGGTGTCTGAGAACGGCAGCTTTAGCCGTCCAGCCTCGGATGCAGGAGGACGTACTGAGGAAGGTTGGCGTGGATGCTACACGCCGTCTCCGCAGACATGGCCGAAATGTCAGCGGCTTAAACACAGCACCAGCTTATTTCTCGCTCACAGAGCAGGGTGGGCGCAAGCAGCCCGGAGCTAAGGGACCAGCTCCCCAGAGTGAGGCATCCCCACTCCTGTCTCGTCCCTTTGTCGTCCTTAATGTGCAGCCTCAACCCTGTGGTCTTAGAAGGCTGTTGCTGGTGTCACAGCCCCCAGGACAGAAGGCAGGGGAGGCGGAAGGCACACCCACGCTCTTCAAGAGCGCAGCCCGGGACGCGTGCGCACTCGGCATGCTCTGCCTCTCAAGGCGTCACAGACCACAGTCTTTCCAGAAGTTCTGCAGATCGTAAGGGCGCCATCAGCTTTTCAGTCCGTAACATCCCCGTCTTTGCCATCTTCCACCCAACTGGGCCACTGCCATGTTTATTTTTATTTCAGTAAAATACACATAGCATAAAATTTACCATTCTAACCATTTTTAAGTGTACGATTCGGTGACATTAACTACGTTCGCACTGTTGTGCAGCCGTCACCGCTCTGTCCCTCCAGCACTGTTTCATCTTCCCAAATCGAAACTCTCTCTCCGTGAAGCACTGACTTCCCGTCCCCACTCCCCAGCCCCTGGCAACCACATTCTGCTTTCTGTCTCTAGGGACTGGACTATTCAGGGACCCACGTAAGTGGAATCGTACAGTCATTATCCTTTTGTGTCCGGCTTATTTCACTAAGCATGAGGTTTTCAAGGTTCACCCGTGTTGTAGCATGTGTCGGGATTTGCTTCCTTTTTAAGGTGGATAATATTCTGTTGTATGGATAGACCCTCTTTGTTTTTCCATTCGCCTGTTGATGGACATGTAGTTATGTCCACCTTTCGGCTACTGTAAATAATGCTGCTGCGAACATGGGTGTACAAACATCTGCTTGGGTCCCTACTTTTAATTCTTTTGGATATGTACTGAGAAGTGGAATTCCTGGATCCTATAATTCTGTGTTTAAATTTTTGAAGAATTACCAGGTTGGCTTCCACAGTGGCTGTACCATTTTATATTCCTACCAGCAATGCACCAAGGTTCTGATTTCTCCATATCCTGGCCAACACCTGTTATTTTCCCTTTTTCTGATAATGGCCATGTTAATTGGTGCGAAGTGGTATCTCATTGTGGTTTTAATTTGCACTTCTCCAGTGACTAGTGATATTGAACATCTTTTCATGTGCTTCTTGGGCATCTGAATATCTCTTTGGAGATATGTCTATTCAAGTCCTTTGCCCATTTTTGAATTGGCTTGTTGATTAACAAAACACATTTATCGGGCTATTAAAAACACACACATCATTTCCAAGTAAGATTAATCCTGGGAATTCAAGGATGGCTCAAAATCAGAAAAATCTGTAAATGTCATCAGTTACATAAATTAAAAGGTAAACTCTAAATGATCATTTCAAAAGGTGGAGAAAAAGCATTTGATGAAATTTATGATTTGGGAAAAAAAATACTCTTGGCAAACTATGAATAGAAGGGAACTCTCCTTAAGCTTGTACTGCCCAAGGGTTTACATAATATCAGAACATCTACACAAATATCACGCCTAACCACAAAATTCCATACGCATAGCGATTAAACTCACTAATTGTGTATCCCTGAAGATGTGTATTTCCTAGAAACCAGGGCTTCCATTTCTTTTTTCTCTTTCTTTCTTTTTTCTTCTTTTTGAGACAGAGTCTTGCTCCATCATCCCAGGTAGAGTACGGTGGCATCAACCTAGTTCACTGCAGCCTCAGATTCTTGAACTCAAGCATCCTCCTGCCTCAGCCTCCCGAGTAGCTGGGACTGCAGGTGTGCACCACCACACCTGGCTAATTTTTTCTATTTTTGGTAGAGACTGGGTCTCCCTCTTGCTCAGGCTGGTCTTGAATGCCTGACCTCAAGCTATCCTCTTGCCTCAGCCTCCCAGAGTGCTAGGATTATAGGCGTGAGCTCCTGTGCCCAGCTCCATTTCTACTGTAATAGAGAAACTTCCCATTTGTACTCAGGCAGACACATGTAAGAATGTTGAATACAGGAATGTTGGGAATTGTGAAAAATTGCAAAAAATCTAAATGCCCATTAATTGGAAAACAGGTAACCGGTATATTCATCAATGGATTCCTTATAGCACGTAGCAAGAATGATCTGGACCTACGTGTGTTAGTGCAGAGTGCAAGCTGCAGAAGCCTACGTGCGGTGTGTTGTCATTGATACCAAGTTTTAAAACATTCAAAACAATCACACAGTGTGTACGCATGCACGCAGATATCTTAAGAGCAGAAATTTAGGGATGTGGCTATCTCTGTGGGCGGGGGAGGGGAATGTGATCAGAGAGGGATGTGGAGTT